TTTGAAAAATAAATCTGTTCTTTTTTTCTTATAAAAGTCTAAATAAAACAAAAATATTGGTGGTAATTTTTGACTGTGTAACTTTACAAAAGGCAGCCCATATGACAGAAGCTCAAAACAAGAGTCAACAGCAAAATAAGCTGTTAGTACACAACCCACACTCAGCTCTACTGCTCATCACACAAATGCATGTTCCTTACAAATGTGGCTCCATTTAAAAGAGGACTTGCCAGACTTTCCAACCATTTAAAATGTATTACCAAGAAGTATTGTTACAACAAATAATCTACCAAACAAACACACCTTTCCTTACTTTTTGTGCTCAATATACAGTGAAGGAAATGATGCCTTGCTGATTTTGTAAATTAGTCCCGTTACAAATACATGAACCGTCAATACGTTCATTTTAACAGTGAGAGATAAGATGTTAAAAAAATCCAGAAAATAACATTGTATAAATTATATAAATTTATTAGCGTTTTGTAGAGAGAAATAATATTTGATCCCTCTGGCAAACAAGACTAACCCTTGTTGGAGCACAGCAGTCAGACTTTTTGTAGCTGATGATGAGGTTTGCACACATGAGGAGGAATTTTAATCCATTCCTCTTTGCAGATCATCTCTCAATCATTAAGATTGTGAGGCTGTCACTTGTGAACTCAGAGTTTCAGCTCCCTCTAGATTTTCYATGGGATTAAAGTGCTTCTTTCTGAGCCACTCCTTTGTTGCCTTGGCTGTATGTTGAAGAGCCAGCTACGACCCATCCTGGCAGAGGGAAGGAGGTTGTTACTCAGGATTTTACCAGGGGATTCTGATGTCATCAGTCCATGAAATGGACGTTATTAGATGTTGTCAGTCCCATACAATGGCTTCAGAGGGTCCCTACTGTGCCTTCTAGGCTTCAGACTGTCCCGACAGTGCCCCCTAGTGGGTTAATATATTAATGACAATGAATGTGTAAAAACCAAAACATATTGCAATAAATTTTTTGTGTCTGTGTCGGACTCAAGCCCTGGTCTCCCACTCTTTGGTCCAACCCTCTGCCCATTGCCGTATTGAGAGGCTGCAATGTATGTGCGTCGGAGGTTAGTGCAAAGGGCGTAATCACCATCTCAGAAGTGAGGGGGACAAATTTTTCAGAGATCTGTAATTTCTCATCCTCTCTCAATCACATTTGTCCTTGGTGGCTAAAAACAAATAACAGCCACTGTCCAGCACCAGGGGACACACTTTAGTTATTTAAATTATATACTAACAAAATCTAAAGAATCAGCTACCAAACTCTGGTTGACTTGACACAATTCCCCTCAAATATCTATAGAAGCCAAGTGCCAAATGGCAACACGTGAAATGTTAAATAAAATACCATTTCCGTCAGCAAACTGTTACTTTGCAAATAAAATGGAATGGAAATGAGAAAATACCAGGGTAATAGGCCACATAGTTTAATTTAATGCCATAAACAAAGAAAGTGACACAGCACTAAACACATCAACATTTCAGTCAAATGTGACCACACAGATGTGCAAAACTATGAGCTATACTTGCTGCCTTTTAAGAACACAAATAACACAGTAGTCAAATAATATCTGAAAATACACAAGTATTAAACAAAAATACCTAAATATTTGACACACCCAGTTTGAATGACTGAGTGATTAACAATCTTCTGAAGACCTGCTGAAGAGCAGGGAAACAAGTKAAACATGCTGGATAGGGGATCTTGAGGACCAGGGTTGGCCAGCCCTGGATGAGACGAATGTGGAGGGGTCCAAACAGATACTTTTGAAAAGTGGGGGGACACGTCCCATTCACTTACTATTGTTATGACACCTATGTATTAACCAGATACTGGTTTTATACCTCATATTAACCAGATACTGGTTTTATACCTCATATTAACCAGATACTGGTTTTATACCTCATATTAACCAGCTGATAATCTGAAGCCATTCTATGGGACTGATAACGCTTAAAGGGATCCATGATTAGTTGTAACATTAAACTTTATTTGATAAACATTTATTT